TTTTTTTTTTTTTTTTTGCTTTGGGTTTTAATTAATGGCTAATTTTTTTTTTTAATTTTTTATTTTCCGGAGTTCCCATTGTTTTACTGGTATGATATTTGTGAAATCTGTTAATGCATCAGATGTTGTGAAAGATGCTACAACACTGTTTGTTTTTTGAAGTTATGGGTTGGGTTGGAGCTGAAAATGTTGTCCATTTAGTGACAGATAACTGCTAATTATGTAGCTTTTGGTAGATTTGAACCATGAGAAATATGAACTGTATTTTGGTTTCCTTACGTTTCTCATTGTTTGAATCTCCTTTTGAAGGTCATTGCTAACATGCCTCATGTTGTAGAACTATACTCAAAGGCTGTACAATCATGATATTTTTATCTTGGATGAGGAAAAGAGAAGGTTGGAAAGAAATTGTACTATTTATGATCATAACCATGATTTGCAAGCTTTAGTTGTGAACAAGCATTTTACTAGCCATAAGTTAGCAAAGACTACAACAGAAAAAGTTGTTAATGCTATCATTTTAGATAATAAAATTTGGAGTGACTGTTTTATGATAGCAAAACTTGTAGCTCCCATCATTTGATTACCAAGGATTGTAAATGGAGAATGAAAACCCTTGGTTATTTTTATGAAGGCATGCAAAGGGAAAAAATTGCCATAAAGGACATGTTTAGGACTAGGAAACCATTATATAAGCCTTATATATTATTAAGGCTCAATGAGACAAACATTTAAAGCACAATCTTCATGCAACAACTTTTTAAATCCTACATTCCTATTTGATGAGAAGTTTTGTGAAAATAGGATTATGGAAGCTTACTTTTTAAATCCATCAAATTGCCATTTATTAATAGTTAAATTTTAATGTTTATTCATATTCAAGTGATGTGTTATTTACTAGTATAATAATTGGAGATAAAAAAAAAACTAAAAAATTACAAATAAGATTTATAAATAAAATAAATATCATGCATTGGTTGAAATATATACAAAAACATATTTTTTATGTTATTTTTTAATTTTTATCTCTTCATGTTATGTCACTAAATATCACATAACTTAAGTAATAATAGATCACTAAACAATGTTAAAATTTAACGATCAATAAATATTAAAATGATGGCAGGACCAAAATTTTATATTTTTAGAAATAAAAGGATTAAATGTCTTATTTTAAAATAGAAGTACCAAAATTACGAATCAACAAAAATAAAAAGACTAAAAGTACAATTTAACATTTTTTTTTTATTTTATTCCCCGTGTCTCCTCCTTAATCCATGGTGATATCTTTTTCTCTTGTATGCCTCTAGGTAGAAAATGACCTTTTCATGTTTAGGGCATGCTTACTAGGAGTGAATAGGAAAACCCAACTCGGCTCGAACCCAAAGGATTCGATTAAAAAAGGTGACTTTTGTGTGGGCTTGAGTGGATAAATAGGTTATGCGGGTAGAAAAAACAGGTTTTATTGGGTAAGCTCGATTTTAGGCCTTTACATCCGCGAGAACCGAACCTGATCGACAAAAAATTTGATAATTAGATAAGGGCTGATGATAAACACACCTCCACTCTCATATAAACACACCCTCTTTTTTTAAAAAAAATATATAAAATGTCTAAATTACCCTTTAAAAAAAATGAAATTCCTAAATTTACACCTCTCTTCCCCACACCCCTTTTTCCTGCACCTCACACTCCACACCCCTCTTCTTCCCAAAGCCTCTTTCCGCTCAATGTCATTAAACAATATCTTTTACAGTCATTCTGAATAGAAAAAAAGGACTAGCCCCACCATAACCAGCATAAGAAAGGTTCTTTTACGGTCATTAGCATTCCGGAAAGTACTTTCCGGAATAGTAAAATTATTGTTCATATAATTCCGGAAAGAACTTTCCGTAATAGTAACTTTAATATTATGGAAAGTACTTTCCGGAATTATGTAACAAAACATTTCCGGAAAATACTTTCCAGAATAAGAATTTAATATTATGGAAAGTATTTTCCGGAACATTTTTATATAATTCCAGAAAGAACTTTCCGTAACAGTAAGAAGAAGAAGAAGAGGAGTGCCAGAAAGAGAAAGAAGAGGGGTGTGCGAGGTGCGGGAAAAAAAAAAAAGAAGAGGAGTGCTAGAAAGAGAAAGAAGAGGGGTGCGCAATGTTAGCAGGTGATCTTGTAAGAGAAAGACTCTTTGGAAAAACACACTAGTACAAAAATGAATTTTAAAATCAGTCACATTTTAAAACTGACGCGGTGGCTTGAACTGCAAGCAGCACGGCCCCAGAACAGCCCGTACTGCAAGCAGAACGGCCTGTGCTGCTTTCAGTACGGCCCGTACTGCAAGCAGCACGACCTGTACCACTTGTAGAACGGTCCGTTCTGCAAGCAGCACGGGCCGTTCTGCAATCAGAACGGGCCGTTCTTCTTGCAGAACGGCCCGTTCTGGTGCCGGTGCGGGGAAGGGAAGTGTAAATTTAGGAATTTCATTTTTTTTAAAGGGTAATTTAGACATTTTATATTTTTTTTAAAAAAAAGGGGGTGTGTTTATACGAGAGTGGAGGTGTGTTTATCATCTCCCTTAGATAAGTCTAATAGCCCATATTATGTGATCCAAGTCCAGTGTTGATGTGAATAACTTAGTTAAAATTGTGCAACCCTAAAACTACTGCTTGATTGCTTTTCTTGAAAGCCTAACAATGTTTGCGTTGTTCTCACCTCCCTCGCCTCTCATCTCTCTCTCTTGTTGAGATCCATCGACACCGTCCAAGAGACTAGGTGTCGTTTGACCGCCTTCATGGTTCCCTCATCTAATCCACCCGTGCAAGTTGGACTCAGACTAAACATTTTACGCTTCGTCTCTGAAGGTGGTTCGTCGAGAGGCTTTAGTGTTCAACTACATGCTAAACTTGCCACACCTAAGTTATCATGCGCCTGATTCGGTAGTGTTGTTTTTGAGTGGGGTAAAGGCATTGAGGTTGAGGCTGGTGACAATGATGGAGGCAGAAAACTTAATGTCTTTAAAAAATCAAATGGTAGCCTAGTGAAGCCTATACCTATTTGAACCCTATCGACTTAACTCAAAATTGTTACCACCCGAAAAAAGGTAAACGCAACGTAATTTAGTCAAAAACAAGTGCAATATATGCAACCCTCAATTTGAATTGATTTACGTATTTTAAACTTGAACCCACTCGAACCCAACCGTTGCTCAACCCTAATGCTTATCATCAAAGGTGGCAAAATGAGTGTTAAATCAAAAGACAATCCCCTAATCTTGGAGTTTTAATGCTATCAAACAAAACATTTATATGTAGATCAAATGTCTACCAAAACATCTTTGAAACATTTTTGAAAGGCTTATCGAAAAAAGTGTAAGACGTAGAACGTTTATAAGGCAATTATTGATCAAACGAAACATACAATTTGTCTCATATACATTAAATATTTATCATTTATTGAGACTAATGACAAAGTTCGCTTTGAATGTTTCATTCTATAACAGATCAAATTAAAAGATCGTCTTAAAAATCACAAATCTGTTAAAGAGAAGAACCATACTCTTTGCTAGAACCAAAATTTGAAAATTACAGAGAAAAATAGATAATAATTGCAATAATTGATCTACACTTACATTGCCTATATAAGTTCCATTTGGTATAAAAAGTTGATAAGTAACCTTCTTGATAAGATAAAAGATACTATTTAGTGAAATGCATTTAATACTCACATTAAATGTGTCAATCAATTACCTACCAACACAAGGATAACGATGAAGATAGACGAAGCAAACTTGTGAGTTGGACTCAAAGTGTTGCAACAGTCATTTTCTCCAAAGTTACTATAAAAGAAGTTTTAAAGATCAAGGCAATATAGAGCTTATCATTGAAATACAATAACATTCACAAACACATTTTTTCTGTATAGCTTTTGTCTTGTAGAAAAATCTTTGTATCAAAACGTTATTGTATTCATGTCCTACAGAGACGATTGTAACAATCTTGAAAACAACTATTATCGGATAGAGTCTCGAGAGGCTTGACCGTAAAAGAATACTTAGGTAGTGATTTAAAGAGGTCAATCAAAGAATACTTGTTGAGCTTGGAGACTTAAAAGAATAATTGGATAGTGACTTGAAGAGGTCAATCAAAGAATACTTGTTGAGCTTGGAGACTTAAAAGAATAATTGGATAGTGACTTGAAGAGGTCAATCAAAGAACACTTGTTGTAGAGCCAAAAGTGACTTGTGAAAAAATATTAGTAACTTTGAAAAAATTAATGAAACTCAATTTAATTGGATTGAAAACTAGACATAGTCTCTGTGAGTGAGACAAACTAGCATAAAAACACTCAGTGTTCCACCTATTCTTTTGATTACCTTCCAACATTGCGTTTGTTGCATATATTACTTCACTCTCTTACAAAAAAGTGTGGATTTTTATATTCACTATTCAACCCCTCCCCCTTTCTAGTGACTACCTTTTCTCTACCATGAGGTGGTATCTAATGGACACAATAGAAAAGTGCAATTTAACCTTCTCTTTTTGTTCTATGACTCATGTTTCCTTAATCCTTAGTGATAGCTTTTTTCTCTTGTTCTATGCCTCTAGGTAGAAGATGACTTTTTCAAGTTTAAGGCATGCTTACCATCAAAAGTAGAAAATGAGGTAGTATCTAATGGACATGGTGAAGATAGTATTTTCTATTTCATTTCTTATATTCACTAATAATTAAAAATGCTACATTACTATTATTTTGACTAGCATACAAAAGGCATTTCATGTCTTCATGAATTATTTTTATGAAAATAATAAATAATAAAAATTATATAATAATGAGTGGTTATTAAAAATATAAGCAGTTATAGAGTAAAATTTATAGAAAAGAAAAAAATTGTAATTAGTAAAAAAGTAGTTATAAGGGTAAAATTATCAAAAATGTGGACACCAAATGAGCCAATTTCCTTCATTAATAGTATAGATTACCATTTTCAAATAATTTTGAAGGGGATGATAAAAAGAAACACATTATTTTCCTTTATTTTGTTGTTTTCACCACTTTACAAACTTTTGAATATGGGAAACCATGTACATACAAAGTGAACTTTTTGACATTATTTTTAAAAACAATAAATGAACATAAAAAAATTTCTACAACCAAACAAGCCTTTGTTATTATCTTTTTTCATTTGTTTGTGCTCAAAAAGAATATGAACAAATAAATTAATAAAAATTCAATTTCATTTATATGGTTTGGTATGAATCTAAAGATAAAAACTAAAACAAAACGGTACATATTACACTCATAATTACCTTATTATCCACATTAATGACATTTATGAACAAAATATATAAATAAACTGACAAAAATATATATTAATATTAAAATTAAGGTTTTGATGTTTAGTTTTCAACTCATTCAATATAAAAGCATATGCTAACCATAAAAATAAAATTCAAACACTTCATTTTCATCATTTAAAGTTATTCCTAGCAACCCTCAAAAAGCAAGGTTATAATAATTTTTGTCCACGCAGTTTTTCAATCTTCAATTTAAGTTTCATCTCTACCTAGCAAAACCTTAAATTTAAAAAAAAAAAAAAAAAAAAGAATGAACACTGAAATCATTGGCTATCATGTAATGCTACTGTAGAGAATACATATCAGAAATATTCATAAAACATTAGCTAAATTTTCAGCTACATAGTAAAACTTAAAATACTTACCAACCCTGTCCAAATGGTGGCAATGGTATTTCCCAGTTCTTCCCGCGTAATACCGCACTAGTAAATCTAAACAACCAATGTCAGTCATCATAGGTGATATGAATATTTCTTGGGTAAGCATTATAAATTTAAACTTGAATCACGAAACAGTACATCCAGTTTATAATTTCAGTTAAGTATGTGCAATGCCATTCATCTAAAACACTATCTACAATTTTGACAAGAAAAAAAATAAGAGACTTAAAATAATAAAATATTAGATTGATGTGATAAGTAACAATCACTTATATAATACTAACTCATCTATCATATTTACTGCAATTTTGGGAGAGTATTATTTGGAGGAAATAATCTTTTTCTTTTTTTCAAATGCTCTCTCAATAAGCTATCAGAAACATTATTATTTCTCTAAAATAAAATAAACCAACATGCATTCGTACTACTGATTAGGTCAAGTATTAGTAAAGTATCAACTTTGAATAATTAGATTTGAAAACAACAAAGAAATGCAATGAAATCCAGAAACAAATGAAAGATAATCAAATACACTGTTAGAATAATTTAAAATATCTTAGATAATTTTTTAGGAATAGTTTCCACACTTTCTTATTATCTCAAGATTTGCTTCCTTAAGGGTTAGCGCTTTATGTTTCCTGAACATAATGTAAAGCACCATACCTTATCATATCAAGTCCATATCAATTCAGTATCTTTATCAGCCAGTAGAATTTCTACGTTCCTTCTATGTTTATCAGCCTGCATTTTCATCCTCTTCTGAACCATGCATAGATTTTGTTTGTTCCTTTAAGATTGCATCTCAACAGATCAACATTTTGTCTTCTGCCTCAAATGCTGTCTCACATTTATCAAAACACAACATGCATGGAAGAAGTTCTGAAGGGTGTCATCTTGATATACTTCCGATTGGAAGTTACCACTAGTATATGTTTCATCAGTGGGAAAGAAATCCACAATCCAGAGATAACCACCATAGAATGGCAATAAACACTGAAGCATGAGGCTTGAGGGAACTAAAAAGCAATATTAGGATGGTCAACAATGGCTGGTTTCCAACAGAGATGGTGCAGTAAGGCAAGACACAGAATAAATGGTTGAAAAGACTTAAAACGGCATCACAGACTCCCAAGAATGCTAGAAAAGCATGACATAGACATTTAAGACTGCAGCCTCAGAAGGGAGAGAGGCCATAAAGGGTGGCCTAGTTGGAGAAGGTAACCTAGAAAGAGGACAAGGAGATTCATGCAGGAAAATTGGCAGCCAGTGACACCAACCAACATGCCCTTACACCAACAAAAGAGCAGGGCTGGTCAGCGGTCAGATTCCACCAAGAGGCATGTGGTGGCACATCACTACATCAGAACTGTGGTGGCCATGCATTTTCAGGCTAACAAATCTGGGTGAACTAGAGTTGATAGAAGCAGCAATGAGGTGAAAGTCTGAGTGGACAAAAGAAAATCAGATTCCCCTAGTTTCAAAATAAATGAGAGGGCAGACAGAATATGTTAGGAAACTCTTCTTGAGAAAGGAAAAGAACAGAATCCTAACAAAGAACCACACACTCACACAATAAGACTGAACAACTAAATAACTTCTATATTGATTATGAACAAAATTCTTATAAGAACCAAGGTATACAAGTATACCCCCAAAAGGAGCACTCACCGTTTCACCCTGGAAACTTCCGGTTTTCACAAATTTTACAAAATAAAAACCCTCAACTAAACAACGAGGGTCTTATTTAAAGGATTTGCAACAGATTAACAATTTTAACTAACACTCTTGACCCCAAGGTTATCAATAACAGATGGTCTATGGCAGTAAGCCAACAATCCGCCATAAACATATGGCAGATGGCATGGCAGCTTATGACGGACGCCATGGCCGACAAAAATAATATATATATATATATATATATATATAT